TGTAGCTGTGCCTGGGATTGCCCCGACCCACATGTAGAAAAAAAATCCAAGACAATCTCATGTACAGTTGAGATGTGAAGCTAGTTCATACTGAATTTTACATTTTAAATATATCTTGAAAGCAATCTCAGTAAACTAAGAAGTTCCCTAAACATAGCAAACTACAATTTAAATGCCTTTATACAAATCAACATCTATGTCTCTTTAAAGAAGTACAAATGAAGCAAATTCCAAAGTTCTGATCCAATCCCTCAACACAAATTTAAGAGGTTGGGGTTTTGTTGGGTTGGTTTGTTTGTTTGTATTGGGTTTGGGTTTATTTTGTTTGTTTGTTTGTTTTGTTGGGGTTTTTTTAATTAAACATTTCCAAAGAAATCTTTACTGTCAAGCTCTTAAATCATCATACCAGAATTACCAAACACATCCATCTGCCCGTGAAAAGGTTATTCTTTGCTGTGACCGAATCCGTCATGTGTGGTTGGTTGGTTTGTTTGTAGCTAGGGTTTGGGTTTTTTTAAGATGATGATAATCATCTTTTCCAGGGTTTCACCAAGTGTTACAATACAAAACAGTAAGCTAAGCAGTGTGTTCTTGAAGCCTGAATGACTTCATGGCAAACTCCTATACGTTCAATTTGTTAATATGATGATTTAGATCATGTTGCCTACAACTATCAAAGATTAAATCAAGAAACCCTAACAACTGCCATTGTTAAATATGCAGAATTGCTGGGTTTATTCATCCTTATGCAACTTTTAAATACATACCAAAACCAGAAAGGTGTATTCTGTGCACTTTTTTTCAAACCAGTTTGTTGTGGCACATACCTGGATTCTTGCCTTCACTCCGAGATGGACGAGCCGTAGGCTTAGGGAATTTTGTCCCTTCCAAAGCTTTGGCAGCTGCCGCATGTTGCGCTTTTTTAATACTAGTTCCTTCAGCTTCCCAGTGCTGGTCCCCAAGGGTCAGTTGCACTGTAAACACCTCAAAAATAGAAAACATGAGTTTTATTATGAACTGCTTTGGAGTTCACATAACTTACTAGACCCTCTTACACAAAACAGTGAGTCTTTTGGTGATGCAGAAATTAAGAATATGATAATTAAAGCTTTTTTCCACTTTTATGTCATCTCCAGACTTTAAATACCTTGGACATAGACAGGATTTTCCTGATTCTGAATTTCACAATAATTGTAGCTAGCAACTATCCTTCATACTGCATGAGATCATACAGGCTAAAAACTAAAAGACACTGTGTGTATAGAAGTGACAGCTACGTGGGCAGCTGGCATGCCAACATTACTCTGAACAGCAGCCTTGAAATTCAAACTTTTGTATTCCACATAACTCAATCCTTGCTTTAATACTGTGGTTTTGTGGGGGTTTTTTTACTACGTTTTTCAGGATTTTGGAGAAAGGTAAGTTCCCATTGCAGCATTAAAGCTTCTACATGCCCACAGGCGAGCACAAATCTATCTGATTACCAAGCAAAGCTCTGTAGCACTTTTTAAGTATGTGGGATAGAGAAGAATATATATTGCCCTAAATTTTCACAAATTAATCAGACAACAGCAAGCCAAGGTCTCCCTGGTAATTAAATGAAGTTTAATTTCAATCAGAATGAAAACACAAGTGAGCAGCTGCTCTGAATGTTATTCTAATACTTTTTTAAAATGCAAACCTTGTCTCCTTTCCACATTGACGCTGACATTTTGGACAAAAGGTTTTAGTTCTTAATATTATTCAACCGAGTTACTGGAATCTAACAGACAACAAACATTGTTCCAGGCAACACCTTAAAGGGACAATGTCAGATTAGACAGACACATCCCAGGCTGATTTTCCTCGTATGCCTGGACCTCACTTCTCATACAATAGAGCTCTTCAGTAAGGATTTAAAAGGTCAGTAATGCTAAAACTCCCTTCCTTCAGTGTTCTTTAAACTAACACAAACTGCTTGTATATTTGCTGTATTCCTGACAAACTCTCCCTACATAGGAACAGAACACCAGAGGAATTGTATAGTACCAAGATTTTTACACACTGTAAAGGATACGCCATGATATGGGATGAACAGCACATGCTGATCTATCCTTGGCATTCTTATGAGAACTAAAGATTTTTTTCTTAAAGTAACTAACTGTTCCAGAACAGGTGAATGTTCAGTGCTGTTCAATCATCCTGTACTTCAGGCATTAAAGAAAATATACCAAGATCCTTGTTTCCCAAATATTGGGCAATTAGGATAGAAAGATTCATTTTATTTACAACTAAACCAGAGCAACAGCAAAGCAACATTCAGTTATGACGTGCACAAGAGAGAACAACTCTTAAATACTAAAATTTAATCCAGGCATATCAAGAAATACAGATTTGTACCTTGCCAGCTACACAGACACAAAAGCACAATTCCTTACATAGCATTTTTCCTAAAGAAACATAAACGCCCTAAAACTTCCTGCATCTCACAGGATAATTTGGACTAATAAACTATTTTAATATTTTAAAGATTGGTGAGATTAATCTCAAAACATTAAAATGCACCACAGGAATAAAAGAAGATTTGCAGAACAGGCAAGATGTAAAATAAAAGCTTAACATCATACTAGAAAATGACTGTAAAACATCATCTATATTTAATACATTGTTTTTTTAGTAAAGAGTGCAAGGGACAAACCTTGCTTTATTAAATGAAACCCAGGAATCTCATAATGGAGCTAACATAAATAACTCCTCGAAAAAGCTAAGTAGTTTTAGGTAACAGGTAAGTTCAACCTCTACGTACTTTGGGAAACCAGATTTTAGAACACATGTAACAGCTTCACGCTTCCCTACATCAATACTTTAGTGAGTTTCCCATTCCTCTCTGTTATTCTGTATTACCTTGCACTAAAAACATATACTTCCTTACTCCACTTATGAAACTGAAAGAGCACAAACAGCAATAAGAAACTTCCGTGACTATTTACCTTAGAATGAGCTGGACCTTGCTCACTCAAAAGCTTATACTCAGGCTGAATCTTGTTGAAACGGGCTAACTCATTCACAAGACACATTGGGGTTTTCTCTTTGGGGTTTGCCATGTTTGAAGGAGCTGAAAGATTACATAAATCAGATGAATGAACAGGTAGCTATGAACTCTACTACAATCTTTTAATAATAAAAAACATAAATCTCATTGGGTTAGAATTTAGTTGTCTGCAACACACCACTTCTCAGAAAAGATGTGCTGGATTGGGATTTCCAAGCAAATCACACGCCTAAACGACAGCATCATTAAATGTAACATTTTAATGCAACCCATAAGTATGAGGTTAGGACAGTCCTGCACTCAGCTTGCATCTTATGTAGAACATTTCAAGGAGCAAATCTTCTAAGTATTCATCATGGTCGCTTGCTTTGAGTAATTTCTAAAAGTACATTAATTTCTTTTTTCCTTCTATTTTCCCCTAGTATCTATCTTTTATCTATTACTTTTTACTTGCTTTATTATATTTTATTGGCATAATATATTTATCGCTACACTGCTCATAAAAGACAACATATTTGTTACGTTTAAAACAAGCCACTTACAGAAAAGATGGATAGCAATGTTTTAAAAATTCAGTGTTATACAATGCTAAATACTCTTTACTGTTACAAACATTTCAACTGATTACTAGTACTCCATGGAAAAGTATGCTTCTATCTGTCTCAAACAGGTTTCATTCAACAGGGAGAAAGCATTACAAGCTACTGCATTTGCGTAAATATTAAAGTATTTGTGGATGCAAGACATTAGGAGTATATCATGCCAAACTATGAGCACTAAGAATAGAAAAACTTATTAAGAGACACTCAATCTTACCTGCAGCTGCATTGGTGGATGTAACTGATGCAGAGGGTAAAGCAGAGTTTTGGATAGGTCTACCTGCATTTTCAGAGGGCAAAGAACTAGTAGTAGAAGGAATACTCAAAGGCTGTGAAAGAGATGGGTTTTTATTCAATATTTGGTTCCCTGCAAGGGAAGCAGAAGGATTCTGAATTTGAACTTGAGACATGTTGACTTCCAACCAGAGCAGATTACTGTAGGTTAACAGCTTTGAATGCAGGCAAACTCAGTGTGATGAAGCCAAATTGCTGACCTAAAATGCAAACATGAAGAAAAAAAAAAACAACCCTAAATATTCAGCATTCTCTAACTATCAGTCTATTGAAATTATTTCTCCGTGAGCAAAAAGGGGAAGAAGTGTTCAATCAAGCATCCACTTTCCATATTGTATGCAGTAAGTCATGCATCCAGTTTTAACAGTATGTTCAACCTATGCATCCTATCATCTATGTTTCTTTCATTTATAAAAGCAGTATAGAAGCTTTGTTTATGCTTGTTCATTTAAGAAAACTACCCCTCTGTTTTCCCTGTCATTGAATCCACTGACAACACAAATCCAGGTACTTAAACCGATAGCCACAGCATACATACTAAACAAAGAGCAACTTCCATGAACAGATTACATTTTAGGCATTCCACCATTTGAAGTTAAAGTTCTTAACTTGGAATGGCAAGCAATAAATGTTTACAAGACAGCTATTTAGAGCATGAACCTTTTCTTATAATCGTGTACTGCCCCCCCACCAGGACGACCTGGGAATGCCCAACCATTTCTGAGGGGAGCACAACTGGCACCCAGCAGAAAATGCTGAAGTAGCTAGGACTGGAAAAAGCAAAGGTGCAAGAGTTCATAAGTTTCATAAGTTACATTGTGTTTGAAGGTTACTTCTATTTAAGTCAGAACATGTCTCAGTAACAGTTCAAGCATCAATTTAGATTTATTTGGCCTTGCAACACCACTAGCAAGTGTTGGGATTGCTCATAGGCATCTATGTTCATGTAAGAAAAAACACCTCCAAGCGATGAACTTGCACGAGTCAACATGAAGTACTGGGATAGGTCCTTCCTCCACCAACAAATTAGTGTTGGATTTCTCTTCCGCATGAATGCAACAGTATCTTCATGCTCACACAGTTATACCTAAATATACACTAACAGGTTGCTGTTTTGAAGGCTGCCAGAGCTCAGCTGCCCATATCCGCTTACGATCCATGTATCAATTTATTTATTAAGAAGAAATTTTACAGCCAATTAAATACATTTCACACACAAACATGTGCACATACACACACACACACTGATCACTGACAGGTTTTACTGGGGCTGCAAACAAAGGTTTATTCTCTCATAATTTATAGAAGAACAGAAGAAATCACTGCTCCAGATACCACCAGGGAGCTATTAGTAGCAACACAACTCCACTAGTGCTCTGTAAGCTTCAAATTCTGAACCTGTGAATGGACTTCCAAATGTAAGAGGAGCAGCAATGAGTCAGAGTGAAGTTTTTAGCTAGTTACTGACAAAACAAACCTAAGAGGAGAACCTAGGCTGATACATCCATGGATACAAAGATTGATGTATTTATTTATTTATTTAAGAGGAAAGAACCTATAGGGAAACAACAGAGACACCAACAGATCTACCACCCAGAATATTTTTACTTTGAAAAAAACATCATAAACATGTCAGGCTTATCCTGCTACTGGTTCAGTAACTCTGTACTAGAGCACGAAATCAGATCAGATCTCATTTGTTCAGAAGACCTCTATGTAGATTATACTTAAAACAAATCTGGTATTTGACTACTAAATTTGCAGAAATTACAAGTTGGGTGCATTGTAACTGTGAAAACGGTATTAGAGAGTCAATCTAAAGGAACTCCAAGAAGTTGTAAGACAAAGATGAGAAGAATGTAGAGTAAGACTCCAGGGTAATAATTTTATAATCACCAAGTTTCATTCCCAGGAGCATCACCAGAAACACTGAAAGATTTCAAACATAATACAACAATAATAATTGCCTGGAAAAGACTATAACATCTTCCCGTGCAATAAAAAAAGCTAATTGCTGAACTGCAATGCCCTTCAAAGTAATTGAAGTTAAACAGTTTCCAACCCACACGTTTTGAGAAGACACCAAAAGTTTTTATTTTGAAGTCAGTAACTTCAGGAGCTTTCAGATCAGCCTGGAAAAGAAGGCTTCCTTTTCTGAAAACTGCCTGCCAGAACTCTGCTCTTCATTTGCCATCACCTGGTTTTAGACAACATGGAATTTCTGCTCCAAAATGCATACATTAAAGTGGTTTTCTAGTTGTACAATGCAGAGAACAGTATACCAATCCCTAGTAGATTTTCTCCCCCAAGAAGGGAAGTCCCTGACAAGGATATTATTAGGTCATTTTCTATATTTATGGCAGAGCACTATGGAACCTCACAGCAGTGCAGCTCAGACCCCTTTCTGCCCAGCTCTCTCTCCATCAAGAGTTACAGCCATCAATGTTCAGCCTGGAAAAGCTTTCCTTTAAACACCTCTGGTTAGAGTAATATTCAGGACAAAGTCAGCTGTTAGTCACAAAAATCTGTGGAGACTCGAGGTCACATCCTAGTGCTTGAAACAATAAGGTGTTGGAAATTGATCCAATTTCAAACAGACTTCAGCAGTGCACATTAGATGACCAGACCAGAAAACATTGCTAGAGACACATCCATAGCTCATAACCTGCTTATTCTCAACATAGAGACCAATCGCCCCACTTCTTCAGCAGTCTGGCTGCTTGGTCACATCTAAGCAGACAAGGAAAGTGTTTGAAGCACACTTTGCTGGAATCCACCACGTGCTCTCCCCAGCCCTTCATCAAACTGAAGAGTTCAGCCCTCATGTACCCTCCAGGAATCCAGAAGACTTCCAGCCTCACAAGGAACCAAGTATGCGGAGTTTGCTCAGCAAACTTTATGCATCTGTAAGATAGTAACAAGCCCACCCATCTTTCTTTGCAAAATGCTTTGCAATTATAAATGTAACCATGATTTGATAACCAAAATCACTGTATAAATATGTGGCCTCTGGATCCATTAATTTATCAAGACAGAAAACATGTACTCAAGAAGATCTTGGGAGTACTCCTTTCCATGACTGTTTCTGTACATACTACATGGTAACTTACAAGATTATACCTTATAAGTTTATATACACAAATATATGTTCTCTTTTTGAAAACATTCAGCTCATACTTTAACAAACATCTTCAAAGAACAGGCTGACAAGACAAACACGAATTATGTTTGTATTTTTTCAGCTGTGAAGTTTATGATACTGTAGTTGGCTTGTGTGAAGCGTTTCATTAGAACACAAGAACAGTCCCATCTTTGCACATTTAATTATAGGTCATTTGGGGGTTCTGTTTTGGGTTTACAGTGCTTCTAAAAAGTAAGATGCCTTTTACCTTACAAAATCCTAACTACACAAGAAAAAAGGACCATAATCTAGAAAGCTGAGGCTAACAACTTAAGGCTGTTCCAATGGATAGAGAAACAGAGATGCCAGAACTTCAGGTGATTTTTCCATGTAATTGGGGTTAGCTAATTCAAATTTAGCAAGACAAATACTAGTACAAGTAAGTGACCCCTATAAACACTCAAAGAATGGCTGGAACTTAAAACCACCCACAAACGTCAAAAGAAAGGTGAACAAACAAATGTTCTACTCACACAATCTTAGCCAGCAACTAATCACATAACCTGCTCCTTTCTCACCCTTCCACACTTACTTTTTGCTAACTCAGATGTTGGTATTTTAGATTTTATTGAGACAGTGTTACACTAGAGCATTATCCTCATGATGGTAATGACTACATCAAACAACTCAATGACCTATGGATGGTAACAACCTCAGAGAGATGGATTTTCAGATGACAGAGCACTGTTCCCCACTCCAGTTTGTAGATTTCTATTTTCTTTTGGCACAGCATTGCCTGCAACATTCCCAGAAATGTTGAATACATTAAAATCCAAAGTTTGGAAATCATTAAGGTAACCAGAAGGCAAGCAAAGAAATGCACAGAGATGTGAAGGTAGCCTCAGTCCACTCAGCCAAAAGTAAAATCTTCCTGTGTAAAAGCAAGAATCCAGCATTGTCAGATAAAAGTTCTCTTGGGGCTTTTTTGTGTTATAATTCTCAAAGGTGTTGCAGATAGAAGCCAGAGATCAAACAAAAACCAGACACTTCCTGTGGATAATCATGTTTTACCACAACTTGTGGTTTATTTAATATGATGCAAATAAAAGGTAAGAAACTTTAATGTTTTAAGTAAGTTTCCTGTACCTTTAGGAGATCCAGAAAGTGCAGATTTGGATTTAGTTCTGAATAGGATATTTATGATGGAGAATGCCTAAAAGGAAAAACAGAGAGTTAGCATTTTGCTTCCTAAAGCTACAAAAAGATCTTCTGTATCAATGTCTCACCACTACATCAAGTTTGCCTCATGCATTCAGACGACAAGCATTTGTCTGACCATTAAACCTTCACCGACAGACTGCTCAACAGAGCTGTGTTTTTCCAAGCAGAAATTCCAACCTGATCCAAGAATCATCTTTCCTTGCTTTTTCCCCAAACCCAAGTGATTTTTCTTACACGAGCAGCGGATTCTCACAGTAGTGCTCTTTGCAGGATTGTAAGAGACACTGGCCAGTTTTCTTTCTGTAGTAAAGCTTCCAGTTCTGCTGAAGTTAACCCTCTTCCTAACAGCCCTAGAGATGAGCTACTGACCCAGACCTTAATTCACAAAGCCAAACCAAAAGCAAGCCACTAACCTGAGAAACTCTGGCAGCTATTAACTGCAAAAATCTGATACAAATTCTACCTTCTGGCTACATTTCCAGTCTAATGATTTCACTCATAAACAGTCATATAAAAAGAAATAAACCTAGTTAAAACTGTTTTAGAATAAAGTTGTTTCAGTACTGAGTATGAAACCTGTCACTGCACGGACTGCTCTAAATGGAAATCAAAATGTATTTTATTCTGCTTACAAATATAGCACAAAGTGTTTAATCCTTCTTTTCCATGACTAAAGCCAACTGTGCGCAGATGCTAGCAACATTACTACCAGCAACAAAATGGGCAAGATCTCAGTCTTGATTAAGGTTAGAAGAGAACACAGACAAAAAGGCT